CGTTGTGGGGATGTTTTAATTTTTGTTAAGAGCAACAGGGGGGCAAAATGAGCCGTAGGTCAAACAGAATGTGTAATACGTATGTACGTATAGTTAGAATTAAGTTCTGGCCTGAGTTGTGTCTCCGCACCTTGCCTCCATCCCACCCCTCCCCATCTCAGCCTCCAGTCCCTTGGAGCGTATCTGTATGTGAAGATAGGTGGCTCCTCATTCGCTGTGATCAGTGTCCTCCAGGAAGAGGTTCGGGCTCAGGTGAGCACAGAGGAGAGGCCGGCGCGGCCGAGGCGAAGTCAAGCCTGCCCTGGCTCCTGCGCTGCCCGCCTCCAGAGGCGGGGGAAGTGAATTTCTCTTATTTAAGCCTCCAGCCTGTGGTCCTCTATGATGACAGCCCTAGCAAATGAACTGACAGTTATACCAACAGCGTTTGATCTAACGCTGTTATGCCAAATACATTTTTTATATTATTTCCTGGGGAAGGAGCCCTTTCAATCAAAGTGGCTGTGCCTGGAAAAGTGATAAAGGCACCTTGGGCCGCCGTCGCTCTGGAGGGGTCCTGGTGATGACCACCCGTTTCTCCAGAGGTCACCTCTGTTCGCTGAAGCACATTTGCCCCTTCGCCAGCTGGTGAAGGAGGATGGGGGCAGGAGGAAACTGTCATTTGTGGAGCCCTTAGTCTGAGCTAGACATCGTAGGGTGCACTGCACCCCACCTTGAGTGGGGTAGCTGAGGTCTCAGAGCAGCCAGGCAGCTGTCGGCCACAGTGGGCTGTGTGAGCTGTCGGCTGCGATGGGCTGTGTGAGCTGGCCCCGCCCGAGAGGTCTCACTGTTGAGACCAGAAGACCTGCCACCCTCTTCAGGCCACAGAAGTGGCTCCCGTCTTCTAGGAATGTCTCAGAGGCTCAGGAATAGTCTTTAGGAGAACGGGGTGGAGGAGGAACCCTACCAAAATCCTGAAGAAACCAAGAGGCAGAACTGTTAACAATTCATCCAGACTTTGGACCCTCCTTTGGACCTGGGCTGTTTACTGCTGCACTACTTAATTGCAGTGTGTGTGACTTCTAGGAAGTCACCTCCGTGTCCCTGAAATGGCAGACATGGCAACCTGCCCCAGGGGCGGGTGGGGACGGAGAGCCAGAGTGTCCAGAAACATCTATCCATCCTCCTCTCCACCTCTCTGCCCAGTGGCCTTCTTCCCAGAGACCTAGCTGACCCTGTCTGAGGGCCCTCTGTGGCCAGGCTGGCCTGTCCCCGATTCCCTGGGCATTTCCTTCAGGGCCCTTTCAGTTCTGGAATGCTTGGAATTTTATTTGCTTTACTTGCTGAGTCTCCTGCATTACCCTGGGCACCCCTGTAGGGCTTAGGGTGCAGCTCTGTTGTCTTCTCGGCTGTCTCCCTAGTGCCTGGGACACAGTGGACCTCCGTGGTATCTGCCGCTGGCTCCATTCCATTCTGTTGTCTGTCCCACCTCCCACCTCACGGCCCTCACATCGATGGTTCCTTTTTCCTGGAGTGAGGTTCCATGTGACTTGCTCCATCACCTCCTCTGGTCTCTGGGGTCGGGCCTGGCCACCCGCACCTCTCTCCTTCTTCTACTGTCCTCTCCTCCATTTGCAGTCATGGCCGCTGGACGCCACATTCTTGCTGTGGGGAATGTGGGTGCCATGAAGGCAGGGCCTGGTTCCCCTGCTGTGTGTGCAGCCCTGGAGCTGCCTGGCACAAAGTGGAGAGAGTGCTAGACCCTGAGACAGAACAGATGAGCTGGAAAAGCTCAGTGGTCAGTCTGGGCTTGGCAAAGGTGCCCCAGACCCTGGCAAGAGGTAACAGGTAGCGATGGAGGGTGGGGTTAGCCGCACTCAGATGGATTTCTGGATTCTGAGAGGCCAGTGAGAGACAGAACACTGGGTTAGAAGCAGAGCGTTTTGTAAGGCCCAGCTGGGCAGAAGCGAAGGCCTTGGGATTGGTGAACCCCTCTCTTCACACGAAGGCTCTTGATTCTGGGGGAGATACTCCGTTATATCCTTTGTCCAGGACCCACTGAAACTGTTCCATTAAGTCAGACATTTGAGTTAAAAAAAAAAAGAGAGAGAGAGATCCTTTGCCTCTAGGGCTTTCTGATTGGCTCTGAGCTAATGAGAACATTCAATCAAGCAGAGCAACACGGGGGCTTTCTGGCCAACCTTGCACTCCACTGCTCCCTGTTACCTCTCACCAAAGGCACGGTTACTGGGTAGCAGGCCCAGTGGGGCACCTTTGCCAAGCCCAGGCCCAGGGGCAGTCAGGGCACAGGCATTTACCCTGTAACCATAGGTAGTAAACGCAGGGGCAGCAGGGTGCACAGAAGACCCTCCTCCAGTCTGAGGGGAAGACTCGGGGGGAAGGCTAATGGTGTTAGAGCCCTGGAAGAGATTTGCTGGGTGAAGTGGGGTTTCTGAGGGGCTTCTGAGACATGTCAGGAAGAGCAAGCCTGGGGCATGGCCCCTCTGGGCAGCGGGAAAATGAGAGAAGTAGCAGGCCTGTGTCCTGGGAGCTGTTTGCCTGAACTGGTGTCTCAGGCCACGGGGCCGTCTGCTGGATGGCAGAGCTGTGCCCTTCCTGGCTCTGCTCTGACAGGGTAATCAACAGTAGCCAAGCTGCCTGTGGGCTCTAGACCTCAGTGTCACCTTCCATAAACCAAGCCTGCTGCATTCACATCCCAGACCAAAGTGGGCCCGGATGGCATGTCCAGCAGAGGCTGCCAGGATTTAAACTTGACCATCTTCCTTCTCTCTTGCCTTGGTCTCCAGCCTATTCCTAAATGCTTTGGGTTCTCATACAGCCCAGCTCTGTGCCAGCTGCTGGACAGGACGATGGGTGAGTGCCCTACCCTTCTGGCGGAAGGAGGCAGCCAGGCAGGCAGATCCCTGGGCCTCCATGGGAACAACACGCTGAATAGCCTGTCAGAGCAGAGCCAGGAAGGACACAGGTGGTGGAGCCAGGCATGTGCCTCGGCACCTCGCTGCCCAGGGGATGCTCTCCTCTCCCTGGAAGCAGGTCTGCTGAAGACAGGGGTCAGACGGCTCTCAAGGGCTCCCAGGATGCTTTTGGTGCCGTGACTCTGCACCACACCAGAAGTATCATCTGCCTGGAGCTTCGGTTATCCAGAACACGAAGGCACTTGGGGAAGGGCACAGAAGACTCCAGTTGGCCATACAGATGGCAGCGGCCACGTTCTGTCCTCACAGGAAGCTTGCAGACATTCAGACTGTGCTTATTTCACACAGAGTGCCAGGAAAGACAGGTCCCGATTGCCTAGACCCCTGCAGTGCAGAGGTGGCGAATTATGGCTTTGGGGAAGGACTCAAGACCTACATACGTGCAGGCTGATGGACAGTAGCGGAAGGAAAACCTGGGAAGATCATTCGGAATCGGCACAAGAACTTGTGTCTGCTCTACCATTGCTAAAATCTGGTCTGGAGCTGTTGCTCAGCCTGAAAGCACTACAGTTAGTGTTATCATACATGACCAGGCACTCAGTTACTCACTCCCCCCTTCCCCTCCCTCCCTCCCTAACTCTTCATGGGCCATGATGCTGAGCACATGTGACCCCAGAACACCAGCAAAATGTTAAGTTCAAGAGATGATCATGACCCCTCCCAACCACTGTGTACCAGCACGACACACAAATTCTTACAAACACCATCCCTGTTAGGCCTGGCTCCCCCCGGGGGTCTGTATATATTTTTAAATATTTTATTTATTTACATATAGAAGAACTGTGGTATAGGCTTGAGGTGTGGGAGGTGAGAGGACTCCCCAGGGACAGAGTGGGGAGCAGAACGGGTGGATCAACCGAAATACACTGGTGAGGGGAGCAGTGGGCGGGTCAGGAGAGGTCTGCTGCGCCCTGTGGGTCAGCTCCCTGGCCAGGGATTGAATTTGGGCTGCAGTGGCTGCGATAGTTCATAGTGTTGTGCTTTAACCTGTCCCACCACCAGGGAGGGCCCGGTGTGTGTATTTTTTAATTTTGTGAAGGAGAAGCCCGAGGCCCAGAGCTCAGCGACCTGAGTGGTAGAGTCAGGTTCTGAACCCAGATCTTCTCCGGCTGTGAGCCCATTTGCTTCTCCTGCTGTTCCTGGCAACCATGTGCTTGTCAGAGATCTCCTAAGAGTATTTTGTGCGTTTATTTAGCTGATGCTATTCAATATGATTTTAGGTCACGCGAGAATAAATATTTTGAAAATTCAATAATTAGGTATTTGTTTCCATAAACGCTAGAAAATAAAGCGCTTGCACATAGCCACACATGCAGTGGCGTGCTTCTTTGGAAAAGGATTTACCTGTAAACATGGAGTGTGTTTGAAGAAAACATGATGCAAATGGCCCACGTACAGATGGTCCATGGCTGTGGCACAGATCATGACGGTCGTCTGAGTGGATGATGTTTGGAGACTTCCGAAAGCAAGGAGGACCACGCTCCTCCTTGGAAATAATGTGCACAAATACACAAAATGGGGGAAATGTGGGTGTCCAGAATCATTTGCTTCGGCTCCCTGGAGACACACTGCAGTGGAAGCAGGGTGTTTCGCTTGCGCCCGGCGACTGCAGGAGGCTCCCGCCAGACCCCAGCCTTCACGCCCTATATGCTTGCAGGGAGCCCAGCACTCCGGACCTGCGAGCAGCCCCTCCAGTGTGAGATCGCCCACCAGCTGGGGCAGGACCCGGTGCGCTACGACCTCTCTGGCTGGCTGCACAAGGCCAGGCCCAACCTCTCGGCCCTAGACGCCCCCCAGGTCCTTCAGCAGTCGAAACGGTGAGCCTGGACAGGGCTGGGGACGGGCCAGGGTGGGGGAGGCGCTGTGGGGTCCCCAGCCAGCCGGCAGGTGAGGGCCCGGCCAGGAGTCCCACCTGCCCTAAGGAAACAGGCCCCAAGCCACTGTGCTGCGGCTCTCGGCGGTAGGGTCCAGCTGAGGAGAAACGCTGGCCTCGCGGGAGCTGGTACAAAGGCTGCAGAGCTGCCACTTCTGCTTTTGGCTCTTTGCCTTTCATTAAGTGTCTGAGAGATGATGTGACTGGAACTTTTATGGACATCCTAGAACCAGGGGGTTGTAAAACCGAAATGACAACGTTTTGCAGCATAAAAAAGCTCACTGTACCCCCTGACTGTGCTTCTCAGAAGTGTTGGCAGAGGGCTGCCACATTAATGCTTGCAGTGCAGAGTTAATGGGCAGAGAGAGTGTGTGTGTGTATGTGTGTGCGCGCGCAGGCATATCTGCTGAGTGTCCAATTTCAGTACTGGAATCCTGCAGGAGCAGAGCTTGGAGATAAGAAGAGAAAACGAGAGCCCCAGGGGGCATGAGAGCGGAGAAGGCATCTTTACTGGCCACCCGCTCTGCTTTGTGTCCAGCACGAGGATAAATGCTTTCTCAGTATCTCACCGGTCCCTACAATAGCAACGCGTCCTTAGCCCCATTTTACAGATGTGAAAACCGAGGCCCAGGTGCTCCTTTGATCACAAGACAACCCAGTGGCTTTGCCAGGATGCAACTTGTGTCAGTGCCCCTTGGATGAGCCCCTAGGATATTATGGGCAGAGTTGGTGGGAAGCCCGTATGCAGGAGGGCCTGCTGGCTCCTGCTGAGAGGACAAGCCAGAGGATGGAGCAAAAGGAAGGTTGCCGAGCAGCCAGAGGGCAGCTGGGGACGCCGGGGCACCTGGGCCAAGTCCTCGTCCCGGCCTTGTCACCTCTGTCTCGTCCTGGCGCACAGCAGGGTCTCTGGCCTTCTTAGTCCTCTCTTGCCCCTACAAGAGAGCAGGCCAGCGCAGGCGTAACTGAGCAAACTTTCAAGGAACCCCAACCTTGTTCTTTCATGTCAGAACATACCTGTCAGGGGTGTGGAGGGGAGGAGGGCATCACCCACTGCTGGTGCCAGGCTGGTGCCAGGCGGCATTTCACGCCTCACTGTCGCAGGGCCTGCCGCTGTGAGTCATTCTCGCAGGGAACACACAGCAAGGCACACCTGTGTTTCAGAGCCATTCCAGGGGTAACCATGGTGACTTTGCCCTCTGAGAAAGTGCCGATAGTAGAGTTCTCTCAGACTCGTATATTTAATACAAGGAGAAATGCTGTCAGGTGAGGGGGGAGGGGCCTGGAGGATGGAGCTGGCACTTGTCACGGAACAGTGGCTCACCTGATAGAGGGGCTGAGAACAGAGGGGTAGCGACTCGAGGGCACTTCCAGAGGCAGATTGGCAGGAAGCAGACAAAGCCGATCCCCTTCATCCCCACGTGAGGCGAGTGTTCCTCAAGAACCCCCTAGAGCCCCTCGTTTCCCTCCTACCTGCCAGGGAGGACCTGAGACTCCTGTTCCAGTCCCGAGCCAAGTTGCCCCCCGTGTGCCGGGCCGTGGCGGGCCTGGAGGGCAGCTCCCAGCAGGCTCTGCAGAGAAACTGCGCTGTGAGGAGGGCGTTTGCCAGCAGCTTTGCCGCGGTGAAGAGGAAAGCCCCGTGCTCCCAGATCAAGCTACAGATGGTGAGTGGAAGGCGGTCGTCTCGGCTGTGTGCTGCCCCAGCACGAATGCCCTGACCAAGGTGACAGAGATCACAGCCAGCCCGGCCCTGCCTGCCTCGGCGCCTCCCATGTCACCGGGCTCTCCTGGTGCAGGCAGCGGGAGCCAGCACGGGCTGTGCTGTGTTCCCGAGACACATCATCCCAACAAATGCTTCAGTCAGTGGTAGGCTGAGCCCGGAAGGCTGGGATGTGGCAAGGATGTTTCAGAAACGCACGTAGCATTATTACCCTGGAGAATCCTGCTTTGGGGCCCTGGGCTCCATCCTCCTCTTGTGCCAGTGGCTGTGTAACTCACTTGGCTTCCCTCGGCCTCAGTTTCCCCATCTGTTCGAACAAGCACTTATTTCTCATAAATGCAAATCAAGCTGTAGATGAGAAGTCCTCACCCCCAAAGATGCCCAAGCTAGATGAATATACGCTTGGGGGGTTTCCAGTCCTCCGTGTGACTCACCCCAAAACAGCAAGCACTGACCCCTTCTCCTCTTGGCCCTAGGATGCGTTGATCAGCATGATCAGACGGTCTCAATTATACTTCATCCACTGCCTGGTGCCCAGCCCAAGGGAGGACAGCAGGAGCGGGCAGGGGTCTGCGATGCCACTGCAGCCTGGTGGAGACAGGCCTGGGGCCAGGGGCGCCCTGCCCTTGGACATCCCAGCACTGAGGGTCCAGCTTGCAGGGTCCCACATCCTGGAGGCTCTGAGACTGCACAGGACAGGTAAGAGGCACCAGGGAATGCAGCCTCTTGTTGACTCCTGGGACAGCCACCACCGTGTGCCAGCCTATCTCCGTCTCTGCTTCCTGGCTTCCCTGTGAAAGGGACATCTGAGTACCCCCATCTTAGTGGGGGGGGGGGGAAAAAGGCAGAAGAGCAGAATCTCAGAAAGGTGAAGGCATTAGCTGAGGGTCACACAGCAGGGACATGGCAGAACCCGGGCCTGGGTCTGGCCCCTTTAGAGACCTGAGTGAGCCGCGAGCCCCTGGAAGGCTGTGTCTCCACCCTCTTCCTGGCGACAGAAAATGCCTAAGGAGCACCTGCATTGAGGTAGAGAGGGGAGTCCCACGATGAGTAATATCTCCAAAGTGTATACCTTTGGGGGGTCACTGGGGAAAGAGGCGATGATGATATGTGACAGGAACAAATGTCGGGGGAAACAGGAGGTACCTGGGTGCCTAGAGCGGGAAGCTCATCATTCCCTGGGGAGCCCAGGAGCCCCTCCTAGGACAGGTGACCTCGTAAACGGGTCTTGAAAGAAGCAGCTGACCTCTAGGCAGTGGGGTGTGAGGGATGGGGAAAGCCAGGCAGGGCAGTACATGCAAGGCCAGGAGACATGGAACGACGGAGTTTTAGGGACTGGGTTTCAAAAGGAGGGGGAACTGTGGGAGATGAGGCAGGCAGAGCCACTGGGCAGCACGCCCACCAGGTCCCTCTGAGGACAGGCTGGGAGACGAGGAGGCTGAGGGGCTTTAATCAAAGGAATGAAGTCTTTCTTTAGGCTGCTGTTTCAGGAAGCAAGCAAGACCGAGGCTTCACCACGAGCTCATCTTATGAGTTGCATTGCATCTGAGTCTTTCTCATTCTTCTCTGCCTCTCAGACCCGGGAGGCTGCTACGCAGATCTCACTCCCTGGCAGTTAGAAATGGCCCAGAAACAGCCATTCTCTGCAGAGGACGGGTGACTGGGGCTGGGGGGGGAGCCCAGGCAGGCACCTGCTTCTGTGTTGAGTGTCTCTGTGGTCATTGGCGTCCTGGCTTGTGATCCCGGCCCCCTCCTCCTAGGACCCCCTGCTAGGAAGCTGGGTATGAGATACGGGATGGAGAAGCTGGGAGCAGCTGGAAGCCAAGATGAGGCCCTCACTCCCGGAGCGTCTCATTGATTTCCCTCCTGCCTGTATAACCACGGGTGGAGAGAAACAGTGTCGCAGGGGAAAAGCAAGATGGTCACGGCCAGCAGCTGATCGATTCTGTCCAGCAGGCTGGCAGGACACATGGGGCGTAGGCAGACACCCTGGCCTGACTGGGGGGGCCTCCATGTACATGCTGAGGTCGGCACGCCCCCCAGATCAGGCCTGGTGTCCTCGCTGCAGTGTCTGCCTCTGCGTTCTCAGTGGGGCCCAACACTGGAGTTCACTAGCGCAGAAGGGAGTTAGTCCTGTGGTAGAATATGACACTTTCTGCCTCCCAGACCTGGTGCATATCTATGTTTGCTTTTTGTAAAGTGACTTCAATCACTCTGTCTCTTACACACCGTGTAGGAAACAATACATGGGCATGTGCACATGTCAAGTATTCACGATGTTGGATTTGTGCATGTGTGATGTGGATGTATATGTACACCTGCACAGTAATGCGCACACAGATTGCTGTTCCATGAGCACGTACAATGTGCTGGCTCCGTGTTACACAGGCTGACAATGTGCTCACAGAGCCCTTGGCATAGAATGAACGCCTGGCATAGCGTAAACACTCATTAAACATCTAAGCCGGGTGGCACAGCCCTGCTCCGGGTGACCAGCCCGGCGTGCTGGCAGCACTGGGCAAGCCGTAGAGCAGGTCTCCTTTTCTTGCCCACTGTTGAGTGGGGTGATGAGTTAATAAGGGGATAACACTTAGGAAAGCATCTGGATGTAGAAAGGCTCTCAATATAAGTTAACCTCTTGTACTGTAATCATCATTAGATTCAATCCTCATTGTGACCATCTGACAATAAATCTTTTTATTCTCATCTGACAAGTGAAGAAATTGAATCTCAAAAATATTGGTCACTTGTGAGTGGTCAGTGTAGTAATCAGGGCAGGAAAGCACTGTGAGCCTTGATAAGTCAGACCCAGAAGGAAAGGCTTGTAACCCCCTGGCCCTCTTGGCCCTGTTTAGTCAGTATCTGTCAGGCCAGCCTGAGTCCCTCTTCTTCCAGGAAGGCTTCCTGGATTTGCACACTCACCCATCACCCACCCCTCTTCCTGAAGGTTTATGCCTTTGGCTTATTATGAAGTAAAGTCTCAAAAGAGGGGTGGGATTTCACCCGACCGGCTCCCCTCTGGCCACTCGAGTGGTCTCTACTGTGCCCCTCGCATCTCAGGCGAAGTTCAGGCCCAGAGGACTGGGATTTAACCTGACACTCCTTTGGCACCTAGTCCCAGCTCATCTTTGGCCCCACTGTTAGGGAGGTTACCACTGGCTTAGTGACTGTGGATATCAGGTATGGAATCCAGCAGGGGCCTCAGTTTCCACATCTATAAAATGGGTGGCAGCACAGGCCTCAGAGGGTAGCAGCAGGACACTGCTATCCTCATGTCGGACACAGAGAGACGCTCAGCCGCGCCCCCACCTGCTCCTGCACCCCACACCCCGCCCCCATGCTCCCTCTGCCTATTCCTTCGAAGGCTGGCTCTGCCTTTTGGTGGTGTCTTCCCAGAGGCCCCTGCCAGTTTCCACCCAGCTGTGTCCATCCTCCATCTTTGACTTAGATGTGTCTGGGACACAGCCTTGCCACAGGTGTGGGTGGGGCAGGGGTAATAAGAACCAACCAAGAAACATTTTCCCCAAGGACAACAGGTCAGGGAAGCGCCTGAGAAGCCAAGTTACCCAGGGTCCTTCCTGCAGGCGTCCAGGCCCGTGGCACCCTCGGTGACAGCACCGCCACCTCCCAGCGGCACTGAGAGTGGGGCTTTTTCATGTTTCAGTGGCGCGTTTCCTGGGGCTTGTGTTCTGGCGGTCACATGTGGGAAGTGCTGCCCAAACCCGCTTTCTTAAGTTAGCGATGGGGAAACGGGGTCCTGAGAAGGGGGTCTGCACAGCAAGTGTGTGCAAAGTGGAAGCAGGAGCTGACTGCTGCGGGGGGGGGGGGCTGGGACTGCCTTGGGCTCGCCCTTCGGAGCCCCCATTCCTCAGCCTGCTCCCGCTCCCTAGGCTACGCTGACCACATGGGGCTCGCTCAGTTCCGCCGGCGGTTCCAGGCGCTGGACCCACTGCTCATGAAGAAGCTCGCCTTGGCCACCGAGAGGATAGACGAGAGGAAGGCAAGTGAAGCCGGTGCAGCGAGCGCGGACGCCCTGCTGCTTCCGTCCTGGGGCTGCCCGGGGCTGGGACCTGAGAGCTGGGCCTTGGGGCAGAGATGAGGGTGGCTTGAGGTCTGGCTGAAATCCCTGCTCCAGACCGGACCCCTGCAGTGTCGCTGAGCACACGGCCTGTGGCCTGTCCTCCAGTGGCCCTTTCAAACCCTGCTGAGGAGGGGCAGGGGAGGTGCTAGAATGGCGGGAGGAGCATCCAGCTGGAGAGCCCTGGCGACATGAAAGCATCCGCACCTGAGAAGCGGTGTAACGACGGCCTCGTGGCTACACCGTTGGGAGGCATCGGCCAGCGGCAGTGGTGCTGGGGCGGCACCTTCCCTCCCAGTGTCCGTAGGGCCAGTGTCGCCAAGCTCACACGGTCCCCTCCTGCCCGTCACCTCGTCTTTGTGTTTGGGGAGCACGTGCCCTCAGCTGAGCTCTTGTCGCCTGCACAGCTGGGACCCACAGTCACCTGCAAACATGCACACCATCAGCTGGGTGAACTTGGGTCACACCCTCACGTGGGGATACTTGGGTCACAGTAAGTGTGCCAGTACTCACCTGTCCAGTGAATGAATCCACACCCTGCTTAGACTTCTTCCACAGTGTGCTTCATCCTCCATGTGTAAACTCCTGGGGCTGGGCCTAGACTTTCCCCCTCGCCAAGCCGTCAGTACAGTTTTCTACTGAGAACCACCACACCAGGCAGGGGTTCCCCAGCTCGTTAGTACTTGCAAGGTCCTGTGACCCCCTTGGCTTCAGATGTGCAGTTCATGAGCTGTGACGGCCCTTTCACAGAGGAGAAAGCAGAGGCTTGGAGAGATAAATCGACCCCCTCCCCCCGAGGCCACACAACCAGGGCCTGAAGTTTGTTGATTCCAGGGAGAGCAGTTGAGAGAGACTGGATGCTAGAAGCAAACACATCTCAGCTGCATCCCCAGCTGTGGCTATGTGAGCAAGTTACTGTCTCTCTCTGCCTCAGTTTCCTCGTCTGTAATGTGGGAACAAGTCGGTGTTTTGGAGGTTACCTGTGCTAGTATAGTTGATGTGCGTGGTATACCTATTAGAGGGGTGCTCAATCTGTCAAGTACGACCCTCAGCATTGTCAGCAACGGCATCAGCGTCGTCATCTCTCAAGGCCAGATAAGAGCAACCTTTCACACAGGGTCGAGGTCTGTCACCAGGGCAGAACCCCACCTGTGCCCGTGTGGGTCTGAGGAATCAGCCCTGGAATCTGTTAGACCGTCATGGGGCGGGGGAAGTAGAGAGCCACACTCCGAGATGGTTGCGTGGTGGGGTGCAGGCTGCTGTGGTGTGTGCTGCCTTTGGTGGATAAGCGGCACTTTCTGTGTGACCCCCCTGACTCCCTGTCGAGGAGGTTGAGGGGGTTGAGGGGGTACACATGGACCCAGCTGGGGGTGGTGCAGGGGCATTCACCTGGCGGCAGCTCATTTTGGAAGTCAGGAAACTGACCTAGTGCCACCGACCTCTCTGTACCAGTTTTCATTTGGGGTTCGTTGTCCTTGGTCCCCAGAACTGGATCCCTGTTCAGAGCATCTGGATGGAGCCATAGAGAGGGTCTCAGACTCCTCTGCAGTTGAAAACCGCACAGAAGTTGGGTGTGGGGGAGTTCTGCGGGGGCAGTGGGTGCAGCATATGGGAGCATTTCTATTCTGGACGACTCAGCAGTTCTCTGTCATAGCCAAACTGAAACCACCTCCATACACACTGGAGGCCTCAGAAAATGGAAAATTACAAGCGGAATGGACTTTTGCTTCTTCTTTTTTTTTATTTGCTCACAAATTTCATTTGCTGCAGCACAGAATTTTGGTGGCAACAAAAGGAAACGCCATCCTGCCTCTTATGAAAAAGCTGATAAATATTCATTTGCCAGGCAACGTGATATGCTATGAATTATACATGAACACGTGCTCGGATGGGCAAACTGTCAGCCTCTGTGTGCAAAGCAGTTAAGACCTCAGGATTTAATAGGACAAGTCTGACAGCTAGAAAAGGTCAACATTGTTATTAGACGCTAGATGGCAGCAGAGGGAACGCTCGGTCTGCGTGAAGCCGCCTCCTCCCCGAGTTCCCTGTGTGCCTGGCATGTGGTGCCTAAACACTGGCATTTGATGCCTACACTTTCCCCTAACGGAGCTCTCTCATTTTGTGGGTACCTGCTTGATCCTTTCTGTCACTGAATCAAAAATAGGAGATGCCTTTCACAACAGGCACAGCGGCTCTCGCCACAAAATACCACGCACAGTGTGAAAAGGTGACAGATCCTTGTCCTGAAACAGCCTGCAAAGATAGCGCTTTCCTGGCCTGGAATGATCTCCACTTGGCAGCAGAAGCCAATAAGGTCCTCACCACCCAGGCAGGGGAGGGGAGCCCTGGTAGCTGAAATCAGGCTCTTCTGTTCCTCACGTGGGACTTTAGTTTTTATTGTGATAAAACACTCAGGACATGTTTTTTTTTTTTTTTTTTTCAAGAGAGCTGTGCCACCAGTGTTTAAGTGAGTAATTAAAGCATCGTCTGTTGTTAAGCATAGTCATACTCTCGTAAGAAAGAAAAGTTACTGACTGCAGGAGCAAATTCTTTTTTTCAAATGTAAGACCTGACATAGAATTTACCATCTGGCCCATCTCTAACTGTCAGGGGTTAGGTCCATTGCATTCGTGCGGCCACCGCCACTGTCCTTCTTCATGGATGTTTTCAACTCTGCACAACGGAAACTCTGTGCCCTGTAAACGGACTCCTCTTTCTTCCTCCCACCCAAACCCCCGGAAACCATCATTCTATGATTCTACTCCTCTAACCACCTTGCAGAGGTGAAAGCACCAATATTTGTCTCGGGGTTGCACTTCGTGTGATACCTCCGAGGCCCGGCCACGCCCCAGTGTGCGTCAGAATTTCCTTCCTTAAGGCTGAGTAATACTCCGCTGTGCTTGTGTGTAGCCTGCGGCTTAGCCGTTCCTCTATTGGTGGGCAATTGGCTCCCTTCCATTTTTACCTGCTGCGAAGGATGCTGTTCCGAATATAGCTGTACAAATATCTCTTCAAGACCTGGCTTTCAGTTCTTCTGGGTTAATACCAAAAGTTTACTGCTTGATCATCTGGTAATTCTAGTCAAGATAGCGCTGCCTCTTCTCAACAGCAAGGTCCCAGTTCAGGTCTCCAGATTGACCCCGCCACCACCCCCGCCCCACCCCATTGTTGACACCCATTCCTCAAGTTGCCTGAACCAACACGGAAGCCCACCCGGACAGTCTCAGGCAGGTGGGTGGAGAAAATAGTCACCTCACCGTGGCTCTGTCCCAGATGCTGTTCCCTTCAGTCCCTTCTGCAGAGGCAAGAGTTGCCAAGTGTCTCTGACTGATGTGAGGAAACCCTGGGACCCGCCTTCTCCTCCGAGTGTCCACAGTGTTGATTGATTTTAGCCAACATAATCTCTATCTCCGGGGACTCGATGTGAAGAACACAATTAAGGGATGTCAATCTATCTTTTCAAAGTCAGCCACTCTTGCAATGTCTCAGACCCTGGTGGATACACCCAATTTCCTCTGAATTTGAGTCTCTTTCTGCTGGGAATTTGTTTTTTCATATAGCTTCTGCCTTGTGCCAGGCATTCTTTTGACATCTGAGAATACAGAGTCAAATGAAAGAATCAGGGTCCCCACTCTTGTGGAGTGATTCAAACAGTGTGTGAGAGTTTGTGGTTTAAATGGTTCGGAGTCAGTCAGATGTGAGTTCCAGTTCCCTTTTCTGACATCTTCATTCCGTTCATCCATTCCCTTTGTGCCCCTGGGCTACATGTCTTAGTATATAACAGGGTGTCTAGCACATAGCAGTTGCCCAAAGGTGGCAGCCATGGAGTCGTGGTGTGGGCTTTCACAGAGGAGGTGCTGTGCTGACCGCAGCCAGAAGGTTCCCTAGGTGAGCATCCAACTCTGTAGACTTGGATTCTCCAAATTCCACGACTTGTTGAGGAGTGAGCGGGGGAAGCATTGCCCAGGTGTGGCTCTTCGTTACCTTGCCTCCCTGACCTGTCCAGCTGAATGTGGGGTGTTACCCACCTGCCCTCTGGTTCATCCTTGTTGAACACTGAAGAGAAAGCTCTTTGCAAAATTGTTAGATCCAAGGGTGTTCTGGACGTGGGGTCATGGGTTGGGTTTCTCCCAGGTACATTTAAGTATTCCTAAATTGAGTCTAGAATGTGACTCTACAGTGCCAAGGACCTTATTAGCTGAGAATCTCCACCAGTTATTTGTATGTTTTTGAAATTCAGCATGTGCCAGGCATGATGGTGCACACTCTACATGAGCTGCTCTATGCTCTTTTATTTGGCACTGTCACCCAACTATTAATGGCAGAGTCGGGGTACCACTGAGGTCTGTTTGACTCAAATCTAGTCTTCATCTGACATTGGCTATCTGAGCTATAGGAAGTTCTTTCATGCTTTGGCAGAGAGATCTTGGATGGCTGAGAGCATGTTGCTTAAGAGCAAAGACAAAGATTTATCTATGCTCCATCACTAGGCTGTTACATCTGTTGAATCTTCTCAGTTGTGAGGTGCAAAAGTGGGAGAGCTTAAGGGGTTAAGGACACAGGCTCTGGAGTCAGCTGCCTGAGAACCTACTGTGTCTCATCTGCTCACTGACGGTGTGAGTTGGCAAGTTATTTAGCTCTTCTTTAAGTCCACTGTCGATATCGACAAATAGGAAAATAACTCCTGTACTCTTGACAGAAGGATCAGGTGATTTAATTAATTTGAGGTCTTAATGTGTTACCTGTAAATCACATAGGTACCACAGTCCAAGATCGATATGTTGGCAATTCTTATTTTGCTGCCTAAAATGGTGACTCTGTCTTCAGTGGCTATTAATGACCCTTCTAGAGAATGAAGACTTAAAAACTTCACATGATACTTAAAAGATAAAATAATGATGGTTAATAATAAATAAAAATAT